ACAGAAGAGAAAGGACTCATTGTTTTACCTGACAGAAGACTTGAATCTGGAAAGGAATGCCTTGGGGAATTTACAAAAAAAACTCCATTTGGGCATCAAAATTTCTTCTACAATCTGGCTCCAAAGGGCCTGTTTGATCACATTTCCCTATCAATCACTAGGGGGAAATAAAAGCTTACAGTCCAAGGTTAATTCATCGTATGAGGCTACAAGGTAACTATCAGTTGTTTCCCTGAAAATCCTTTACACTTTCCCAGAGCTCAGAGAGTAAACTCAAGCTGGTGCTTCAGAGGCAGTGAAACTGTCTCCCAGAGTGGACTCCTGCCTTTGCCTTTCTGCTAGCTCCAAAACACACAGTCATTTGGAATCATAGTCTGGACTCTCTGAAATGTTCGCATCTTTCTGCTCAGGTCATTTTTGTGATTAAATACAGGAAGGAAGTAATCTGGAAATCCCTGATTTCCCCACAGCTATGCTGGGGTAGTTCATGGTCATGCCCTGGACCTCTGGTTCCCCTGATTTGGAATGTCTTTTATGTCTAGATGCTACTGCTTTGGGAAGTTATTCATGAACAGAACTGCCAGTGTCCTTAATTCCTTCAAATTCAGCAATTACCCAGACTTTCTCTGCCCTGACTCTGTTCCTTTAACAACCTACACACTGCTAAGTGCAGTGGCACATGCCTTTCATCCCAGTGCTCAGAAGGTAGAGGCAGGCAGATGTTTGTGAGTTCAAGGCCAGCCTTGTCTACAGAGTGAGTTCCAGGACAACTAGGGATACATAGTGAGACACTGTTTCAAAAAAAACCAAAAACCAAATCAAAACAAAAGAACCTAAACACAAATCACCATGCATAGAATCATTATTTTATATCTTGGTAGACTACAAACTTCCTGCTAGCAGGGCGAATGCCCAGCTCATCTTCTCTTTCCCACACGCTGACAGCCTGGCATGGAAAGGCCCCAGTACCTAGATATTAATAAAATAATAATTTCACACTAACTGCATGTTTGGGGGATTGCAAGAAGATAACAACACACTTTCACCCATTAGTGGCAAAGAAGTAAAGCTTTGCCATTGCTCCAGGGATTTGACTTTGGCAAGAGGCGATGGTCAGGGTAGATAAACTGGGGACCCAGAAAATATGTGAAACCACAACTGTGGGAGCTCCCTGTTACTGTAGGAAGGGAAAATGATCAGAAAGAAACTATTTCCTGTCCCGTCTCACCACGCAGTATTTTATGAGGGGGGTTAGAGAGAAGGGGAGGAAGAAGAAAAATAAATTAAGGGAGACATCCATGTTGGGACAATCTATCCAATCCCTGAAGCTGTCTTCTGGAAGCAAGACAGGCTAACAGTCTAAGATCTTCTCCCTTTCACAAGCTCCTCTCTGGTTTCAGAACAGACAGGTCTTTGGATGATTTTTCCCATTCCCATGGCTCATCTGATGCTTCATACCACTCTTTCTGATTATGAGGCTCCCTGAGACACCAAGGCTCTTGGGAATACACACTCAAACGTTAGTGGATATTTGAAGTAGTGGACATTGCTTTCTAGGCATTCTGCTTCCTCTATTGTCCAGTGCTTTTATGCATCCCAAACCCTTCCCAGATACCAAATCCCAAGAGTTCCTTGTGATTAGAGGGCTAATTCAGCTTGGGTAATATGGGCAGCATCTCTGACAGCTTGCTCTATAGAGTTGGGCAAGAGTGAAGGCAGGAGCTGGAGCTGCCCTGTAGAAAAGACCTAAGACAAACCACTCAGCCTGTTGCTTGTCTAGCAAAATTGCTTTGTAATCATTGTTCTCCTTCGTGTCTCTCAAGTGTCTAAGGAAATAGTCACCAAACATACTATCCTACCCTGCTTTGTTTTATTTGAGACAGGCTGGTCTGGAACTTACCACATAGGACAAACTAGCCTTGAATTCATGAGCCTCTTGTCTTAGTAACCTGAGTGCTGGAATCATCAGGCCCAACTCATGCTGCCTTATAAGCTACCAACTTTTCTTCATGACAATGAGTTCCATTTTGTACTAGCCAAGGTTTCCAGAGAGAAGGACATGTATGAGCCCAACTGGAGAGAGCGTCTGTTACCACCACTCCATGGAGGTAACATAAGTAGATCTAATGTCTGCCATGAATCCAATTTGACTACATCATCAACCTAGTTTTTTATAACCTACACTGCCACCCCATGGAATGGATGTTATTATTTCTATTGTGTAGATGAAGAAAAAAAAAACACAGAGAAGAGAAATGCATCGCTCAATAGCCCTTGCTGATGAAACACCAGAATCCAGATTAGTAAAAGAATTGCTAGAACCCATGCTTTTCCTGCCATGCCAAACTGCCTCTCCCTCCAGCAAACGTCTGCCTGAGTGGGCAGTGGGCTTGTCAGCTCTGATCACAACAGAGCTCAAAGGGATGCAGAGATTAGCACCATCTTCCTCAATTCCTACTTTGGACTCTGTGGACTTTAGGTTGGGAACACCTGGTATCCTTGTGTCCATTAACTTCCACAGAGTAAAACAGAACAAGAACTTGGCCTCATGGCCAGGCCCTCCCTGTGAGCTGCAGTCTTGACACTGTGCAACTTCCTCCTACTCTCCTCTGTAACCAACTTTGTGCTCAAAGTCAGCTGCCATTGTAGGTCATTCTAGAATGAAAGTCTGGCCATCTTGTTCCTATGTGTAAAACTTTCTGTGGCTCTCTACTTATCCCAGGACAGATCTCACCTGCTTGGCTAGGTGTGGAAGGCTGCGGAAAGGCTCAGTATCCTACAACACTCTTCTCCTCAGTCTAGGGGTTTCTCCCATAACTATTTCCTTTGTGAAAGTTAGGTCAGTCATATTCACAATAGCTTCAGGATATTTTTGTTTATGCCTATAATTATTATTCCCTCCGAAGTAGCTTGGAAACACTTTCTGCTTCCTCACCTGTGGTCTCTTGACACTTAGTCCCCACTTAGCCTGCATCCTATGGATTAGTTTACACATGCTGTCTCCTCCAGGGATGTGTGCCATTATCATTGAAAACACAGTGACATGTGAGACAGCCCCTAGACCAGTGAACATATATTCAACTCCCATTTCCATAGTGATATGGCAATAAAGTGGTTTTAGTTGCAGAAAGCTAAAGCAGGTTCAAAAAATTTGCCTTTTGTAAATGAACTCAATTCTATACTTTCCAGTTTTGGAAGTCTAACTGAGTCTAACTGCCCCAGAAATTCTGAATGGGTATGAAATGGAGCTGAAGACCTAGAGGACAAGGTAATCTTGGGGCTAGTCTCATTAGTCTTGGGAGAGAAGTGCTTGGGTCTTACACGCCATTTTTGTTTTTGTTTGTTTGATTTTGGTACTCTGCTATGACATCAGAAAGCCCTGTCAGTGGGATCCATATCCTCTGTCTTTGCTCTTGTTTCACAGTCTCAGAAGGCTATAATGGCCCTATTAACAGCTGGGCTTCTAACATTGGATCAGACCAGGAAGAAAAAGTCAGGCACATGACCAGCCTGGCCTCTAGAGGCACACAGATGCATGCAAACAGTGCTCAGTGGTTCTCAACCTTTTGTGACCCCTTAATACAGTTCCTCAACTTGTAGTGACTCCAAATCATAATATTATTTTATTGCTACTTCATAACTATAATTTTGCAACTATTATGAATCATAATGCGAATATCTGATATGCAGATGGTCTTAGGCAACCCTTGTGAAAGGGTTGTTTGACACCCCCCATCCAGGGATTGTGACCCACAGGTTGAGAACCACTGGATTAGGCAAGAAAAAGCTGCATCAGAAAGGAGGGGCTAGCTTGCTGAGGACATGTTTCTCTAGTCAAGAGCCTATCCAGCCCGAACTAGATCCTCATCCAATCAGCTAGTTGGGCTTGGGTCTGACTCAAAAGATGAGGAAGATGAGGATGAGCTTCAGATTCCATCACTGTCTTGGTGGGGGGGGGTTATTACTGATTAAGATGCAACCTAACAAAAAACTTCAAGGATGAGGGATGAAGGGGAGCCAGAATAGTACCTCCAGAGCACAGGGTGATGGGACAAGGAGCAGGAGAGTAGAGTAATATAGAAACTGGAACTTGCTCTACAGACCAGGCTGGCCTTGAACTCACAGAGATCTGCCAGCCTCTGCCTCATGAGTGCTGGGATTAAAGGCATATGCCACCACTGCCTTGCTGAACATTTTTGTGTGTGTATTTTCATGGTGTGTGTGTAGGTCAGAGGACATCCTTGGTTCCTTGGGACATCTTCTTTAGAATTACCACCAACCCTCCTTGAGACAGAGTTTCTTACTGGCTTGGAGCTCACCGATTAGGCAAGACTGGCTGACCTGTGATCCCTCAGGGATCCTCCTGTCTCTGCCTCCTCAGTACTGGGATCATGAGCACATGCCCCCACATCCAGTTTTTAATAGGGGTTTGGGAATTGAACTCAGGCCTTTGTGCTTGCAAGGCACCACTGGAGCTAGCTCCTCAGCCCCAGAAACTGAATTAAGTTTATACTTCTGTTTCTGAACGTTTTAAAAAACTGTGGAGTTGAGTCATTTTCATTTTTGACAAATAACACATTTTTTTCTTAATTCTCTCTCAATCAGTATTAGTAAGTGAAACTGTCTTCCATATGCCTGCAGTTCTTTGCTTAACTTAGGTCTCTAGGCAAGAACTGGGAATGGGCCCATAGGAATGGCGCGATGATTAAGATTATCTTTCTGGAAACTCTGAAGTAAAAACACCTAGGTCAGCTGCCGACAGAGCTCCAAAGCAATCATGTTTTGATGATAACTCAATAGTAGCAACCCTCTCACCTACAAGCTCATATGAGTAAGTTGGGGATTATTGTTTCCTTTACTTGAACTATATAAAATTTGGTGGACTTCAGAAAAGTGGCAGTGATTTTCCTAGTTAAACCCAGAAAGAAGCCCAGAAGCCACCTGGATACAGACAGGAGAAAAGGAGACACGGTGGCTGACTTTCGGAAGCTGGTACTTACCTGTGATCATGCTCAGTGCTGACAGGCAGGCTAAGGCTTGGATATCAAGGTTCAGGCTCTGCAAATTTAAAGAAAAGTCTTTAATGGAGTCGAGCCACTCCCCAAATCCACGAAGGCACTGAAGTCGATGCAGGACAAGTCCATTGCAGAACACAAACTTATCTTCAGCAGTGTTTGACCTGGGGGTGGACAGAGGAGGAGAGACATATTAGATAGGTCTTCTCAGTTTGACTAACACAACATCACAATGCATAGGTACCAATAGCAGCATGGGGCAGCACTGGAAACTGTACAGTACTGCCATGAACGAAGGTGTGCTCCTGGGACTGAACAACCAACCTGTAGGTTGCAACCCCTTTGGCAGGGCTGAACGACCCATTCACAGGGTCACTTAAGACTATCTGCATATCAGACATTTACATTACGATTCATAGTAGTAGCAAAATTACAGTCATGAAGTAGCAAGGAAAGTAATTTTATGGTGTGTGGGGGGTTACAGGAATCCCCCACAACATCATGCCCATTACGGTTCCCTCAGAGGAATCAGGAGAGAGTCATGAGACCCTCACCTGAGATTACAGCCACTGACTCCCTGCTGCCCTTCTCCACTCAGAAGTGCATAATACTGCCCCACCCCGTTACATGTTGATAGAAGGTAGAAAACTGACCTAAGGGGGTGTGTGTCCCTCTATGCAACTTTTTTGAGGTCATTATCCATGTTAGATGTGACTTTTTGGTGATACATCTTTGGTGGGGGCACCCATATTCCTGTAATCAAACCCTCATATGTGCTTTTCTGTTAGTTAACCCAGTGAATATACTGGTTCCATCCTGAACTTGGATAAAAGCACTTCTTTGGCCTGTTGTTGGTCCCTATCGGGGTGAATAGACCTTTGTTATGAGGTTTCCTCAAGAAAAATCATACAATGGCCTCTCTCTGCAGTGAACAGAAGACTTCCCTATGAGGCTCCGGAGTCAAAGCTGCCCCCTTATTTTCTTAAATGCCAGAAGCTGATAAGGCCCGAGGCTAGACACTACAATTCCATTATGCACATTCACAGCAACAAGTTTCTCTAAGTGTCAATCACAGAATCAGAGGTGGCACAACACATTACCTCCTTGAACTTACATAAGGGGGCTATAGAGGGCTATTTCCACATTTGCCAATGGTTTATACTGTGTCTGTAACCATCCCCTTTTTCGCCCTGGAACCTCTACTTGCACATACTGGTTTAGTAGGTTAACCTTGGGCACCCCTTTCATCTCTCTGGACTTCCTTTCTCTTATCTATGAAACAGGAATTTAATCATAATTTCCTAAGGTTGCAGAGGGAATTAATAAAATGAAGGTTTTCCTTTCTTTTTTTGGAAGCCCATGCTCAGGGCCTAGCACACAGGAGGATTCCGGGAGTATTAGATAGAACTAATTCTTGATTCTGTGGGACCCTTACTGTAATATTGGATTTTCCTTTTAAAATATCTTGCTCCATATTTCTCTCTCTAAGTTGATTGCATTCACAGGGCAGTGTCTTTCTAACTGGGCTTCTGGATGAATAGCCCTATTCATTTCCTCACTCAGCCGGTATTTACTGAGCACCAAGGATGTGCTGTTCCTGGAGACAGGCACTTCAGAGAGCTTGGTGAAGTATGGCGTCCACCTGCATGGAGCTTATCTTCTGCGTGATCCTTTGCTACATGCCTCAGATGACAGCCACATCTCTACTGGCTCTCACATGCACTGGATTGGCTGAAGTTAAGCTAACCTGGCACTCTAGCCACAACCCCATCCCATCTTTTCCTCGGATCTCTCCACATAGGGGGCACATGGACAGGATGTTTCCACCTCAGAGTTTGAGCATGGCTTCCAACTACTGGTTTCAGAATCAAGAGAGTATGACTTAAAGTGTAGATTTCAGTATTATTCTATAGCCTACTACCACCTTGAGGCACAGACGCTATATTTTAAGCAGGAGTTTCTGGTGTCACCATATGAAAAGGGAGAGGAGAGGAAAGAGGAGGAGGGGGGGGGGGGGGGGGGAATGATGGGTTTTCTTATAATATCTGGTGAAATTCAGGTACTATCTTTGAAATACATAGTTGAAATGAAGCAAGGAAGATGAAATTAAATATGCCCTGGGTGAATAAAAACTAATATATATATATATATATATAAATATATATATATATATATATATATATTGTTATTTGAAAAAATCACTTCCTATTGGTCAAGGCAATGCACACCTGGGTCCAGCACTCTGGAGGTTAGAGCAAAGAAGATTCCAAGCTCAAAGTCAGCTGTGAATCTAAGATCAGGCTAAGCTACCTAGTGGACCTATATATCTGTAAGTAAATAAATAAATGATAGATAGATAGATAGATAGATAGATAGATAGATAGATAGATAGATAGATAGATAGAATTCACATCCTCCTCCTGTTTGCTGCCACTGAACACTAGAGAGTGAACCAAATCTTTTGACCCAAGAACTCAGCTATGGAACCCTCAGAGGCCCTTCAGGAATGTTGCAACTGTCACTTCTGAAACAGAAACTCATAAGGCAAACCCAGCATTTCCACAAACACCGTCTGCACCCCGAGAACAGTCTTAGAGCCACAGGCTCGAGGAACCACCAAATCCATCCTCTATTTTGCATAGAAAAGATCTAGTGAGGCAACGCTGTGCTCCGAGCCTTACACGGTGTCTACTGCCCTTAGACCTCAGTCAGACTGGAACCCAGGGTCCTGGATGCCACTCCATCATTCTTTCTATTCCCCACTGCTCAGTGTTTTAATGCTTGAATACATTTCGCCTCTGCTTCTTCAAGAAACTCCCCACTGTTACAAATAGAAGGCTTAGGGAAGATAAAATAATAACACACACCTGATGGAAAGTCTAAGAACAAACAGCTCCAAAAAGGCTGACTCTATAAGTAACGTCTGATCTTCTTTGGGGAGATCAGTGAATCCCGGGATCTTTTCTGCCCAGCTTCTGGACACGTCAATAGAGGCTGTCAGGAGGTTGTAGAACTGCTGCACGTGCTCAGCATCTGTGCCTGCAGTGGCCTGGTCGGTGGGACAGTACTGGAAGGAAAGTACAGAGAGCATTAGCCTGATTGCATGGGGATGGCACCATCTTTTGAGACTGGCTTTGCCCAGATGTCAATGCCTAAATCCTTCCCCCTTTATAAGACCCATTAACATTCATGGCCTCATCTGATCCTCCAATGGCCCTGGGACATAAAATAAAATTAATTTATTGTTATTATCCGATATACAGAAGTCCCTTCAAGTCTCATCAGTGCAGGGGCTTGTTGACGTCACCTTGGGAGCTTTATACAGCTCCCGTGTCTCAGCTCTGTCTCCAGAGAGGCCCATTTAAGTGGTCTGGAATGAGGTCTGCCCACTGGGAACTTTGAAACCTCCACAGATGACACCACAGAGAATCCCACGGGGGAAACCACTGTCCACATGGAAACCATTGCCCTAGGGTTGTGGGTCTGAGTAGGCCTTCTGGCTCTGTGGGTTCTGCTGTAGCATTGTCATCTCCCCAAAAGATGCCCACAATAAGGAGCCAGAGATTTTCAAAGTATAGTCTCTAGACCAGTAGTGTCAGCAACACCTGGTAATGTGCTAGAAATGGCAACCCCAGGCCTGCTTCATTAGAAACTCTGTAGGTGGGTCTTACAGACTGCTTCTGATCAAAGCTTCTTATCAAAGCTAATGGTTTTAATGTACATGGAAGTGTGAAAATCACACAGTTAACCAATAAGAGAAAAGATGATTACTTTTGCTTGCTGTTGATGGATTTCTATGAGATAAATCTGCAAGTGTGTGTGTTGGGTGGGGGCTTCCTCTGTGGCAGAGCCCAGAGAGCTATATGCCACCAGACTTGGGAATTATGACTGCTTATATTAATCAAAATTAGACAAAATCAAAAGTTCAGTTTTTTTTTTTAAAAAATCACACTAGCCATATTTCAGGCACGTAAAAGTCAAGTGGGGTGTGGCACATGTTCATCATCCCAGAAAGACATACTAGATAGTGCAGACCTAGGAACTTGGGAGCAGACGGTGGGGAAGAAGAGGGAGACAGAGGAGAAAGACAACAAAAAAAAGGAGAAGGGGAGGAGGAAGATGAGTAGGGAGGAGGTCTCTCCCAAGCTTTTGGCTACTCTGGTAAAGGCACAGGTTTGCCTGACTCAATGGAGATAAAACCTTTTCTGCATCAGGCAGGATGTTCTATGCAGCACAGTAAAGATCAAGGGAAAACGACAGCACCGAGATGAGAGGGATGTGGTGTGAACAGGAGCATCACTGCCTTCTCTATGTTCACTGGGAAGGCCACCTTTGTAGCTCCCCACCCCCACCCCACTTGATCCTCACCGGGAAGCTATGAAATGTTCCCAGGTTACATAGTGATGATAGTAAGCCAGGGTCTAAGTGCCTGGGATTTTATGTTCTATGCCTCTTGACTTTGGTTTTTTTATTTTGAGACAGGGTCTTACTATGGGGCCACAGCTGGCCTGAAACTCACTACATAGACCAGGCTGGCCACAAAGTTGCAGCAACCCTCCTGCCTCTGCCTCCTGAGTGCTGGGACTACAGGCTGACTGTTCTATGTTTGCTATTAGCTGGAGATGCAGCTTACTACTTACATGGAATGATTAAGGCTCTGATGTTTAATCCTCTGCACTCCTGAAGTGTTCCGAAAAGGCTTGATGCCAAGGATCAAGCTCACAGCCTGTGCGTGTTAGGTAAGTGCTCTATCACCGAAGTGCATCCCCACTGACTTCATTTCTTTTTAGTACAAGAAAGTGGGTCTGTTTTTTTTTCTTTCTGTTTTCCCGCAGAAGCAGAAAGACATAAAAGTACAGACATCAGATGTTGAGTCCACAGAACTTAACCCTAGTTTTATTTGGGCCCCTAATTTGTGAAGTATTGTGGTGGGGCCCAGTTTTCTCCTCCACAGAGTGGGGATATTTAACATCTTCAAAACTCTTTTGTGATGGCCCTTCTATGGGAAGGACCTGAGATGCAGAGCGAGTTAAATAGCAGATGACAGTGATGTTACTGACAGGGTTCCGACTGTGTCACGTCCCTCACCTGCCCATTTATTGAGTGGGGACTGTGTTGTATTCAGCAGAAACTTTCTAATTTTCACCTTAACCTTATAAGATCTTGTAACATCAGGTCAAGTTCAGAGTCATGCCTCCTTTGTCCTAACAATCGCACAGGTTTGCCTGGGATTTTATGAAGCCCCAGAAACCAGGTGGTATCATGGAGCATGGGAACAAGTCCAGGAGAAGGAGGCAGGTCCTTTCTGAAAGACATTTGAAAAGGCCATGAAACCCTGCCTGAGTGAGTCCACCGACTTTTTTTTTTTTTTTCCCATATTATTTTAACTGGGGG